ACGAGGCTCAGCATGCTTTCCAGAAACAGTGGGTGCCCTTTTGCAACTGTAAAACCTGAAACTTTTCCTTTCCTTCATAAAAACTCACTTGAAGTACCAAACAGGCTCCAGCAAGAATTCTTTCAGCACGCGAAGCAAAGAATCGGGGTACAGCCCACTCCAGAACCCTAACACTCTCAGTAGGCACCACCAGGGGAAAGCCTGGTGGTAGGTGTCCCACTTATCTCTCTAGGAGCAGCCCCGCTGCCATACCTGGCCCTTTGGCTTTGTTGGCTTGGATGCGTCCCAGTCGGAAGACAACAGCTCGTTCATACTCCTTAATGATCTAAGGAATTAAGAGAGAACATTTAGTCTTAATGGCTCATCAGCTCTTAAGGAGAGCCTGCTTTATTTCCCAAGGCATTACCTTCAAACACATCCATATGGAAATGGGGAAGGTAATGATCATCAACAGCATAGAGAGGGACCACAGGATCCAGCCGCAGACGCCCAGCCGGTTACTGCTGATGCCTAGGGGACGTGAAGGAAGAAGCCTGTAATGGGCTGGCTCTTAGAAAAGCAGTCAGTACCTGGGAGAAGGCACTGGTCCGAGACCAGCCAAGGCCACCTTTGCTAACAAGGAAAACCCAGTCATGAAGGTAGCAAAAAGGAACAAACATGAACACAGACAAAAGACCTCCATTGGTGTTTAAAAATTAAAATTGACCTGCCCCTCCCAAGAAGAACCTCACAGCAGCCAACAGTGGTGTTTACCATGAACTTGATAGGGTTTATTATTCGCAGCACATTGGATTCGCACTTACATTCTGAGCACCCTGGTTTACCAAGGACTACAATTGTGAGGATGGGGCAGGACCGGCAGGGTTTCCTTCTGTTGTGGCACCATGGATGGAAGTGACAGCCCCAAATCCACGTGTAGAGTCCTCACAGAGATTGGTCTCCATTGAATTCTCTCCCATCATGAACCAAGAATGTAGACAGCCACGACCTCAGGCCGAGCGCATAGCACAGGAGACGACCTCCACTCCTCTCCAGCCCTCCCAGGGAGGTGCAATCTCTCTTAAAGGCTTACCTAGGCGTGTCCTTGATGGAGGTCACTGCCCTGAGAACAAACGGGGTCAGCTAGTCATGAGTCGAGTCAAGCCCTATCAGCCGTGCCCTGACTTCCTTGAGCAGAAGGCCCTGGAACAATCTTGTAAGCCCTTCTATCTCATACTGGACATGTCCCAATCAGGTGCCCATTCCCCCATTCCTGCTTCTGTGGGCCCACCTGTAACTGTGAGCGTGCCTGTTTCTATCTGCCCCATCCTCACTAGGTGCTCTTTGGTCTTTTCAATTGTGGCATTCTGATGGATGAAAGATTTCTAAGCTTGAGATACATTTTTAGTATTAATATATTTCGAGGACAAAAGTTGTACATTAAAGACATACTATTAATAATCAATAATTGGGGCTTTCTTGGAAGCGTGCTGTTCTTTGTCCCGCCACATGCAGAAGGGATGTCACCTTTTTTTTTTTAACCAGCCCTGGACGTTCCTGGAAGCAAGCCCAGGGTAGCGGTGGACTGACTCATCTCTATTGTCTCTGCTGCTATCGTCTCTGTCCCTTGTTAGACTTTCATCCTCAAGGGCAAGTTCTTTGGTGTACGCTCCCAGTATTCTTACCCCTGACATAGCTTGTAACATGACTGTGGCTGTTAGCTGCCGTGAGCTGGCACAACCGGGCTGGCTGTGGGGAAGCACCCCAGTCTGTGTGATCCAAGGATGGTGAATAATGAAATCCAAATCTGAAGAAAGGAAGGGTATCAGAGCTAAAATTGTGAACACCTCATTTTCAGAAGACTCTAGAAGGCAGCGGAAGCCCAAAATCCATTTGCAGGGTTCACACCTGGATTAAGCCTCCGGAGAATCCCTCTGATCATAGTTGAAGGATACAAATAGACTTATTATCAAACAGAGAGCATTGTTGTTGATTATGCGGATGTAGTTAAAATGTAATATCTTATCATGTGATATCCCTTTTGATCCATTTTAAGGTTGTTTCGATTAAAGAAAAAAAAACGAAGGGGGAATGCATTATTTAAACTAAGGCTCTGGTGCATCCCTCTGCTAGAGACCCGGGACGTGAACAGCCTCGCTAACATGCAGAGGGCACTGGAAAGAGGATTGTGGCAGAAGCAGTAAGGTTAAAATGTAGCACCCTGTCATTTGATCTCTAAAACGTTTAATATTTTCTGCTTTCATTCCAATTGAGGATTTTATCTGTTTGACTTTATTATTGTTGTGCATTTTTGTTTTGCTTTTGAATGTTTTTCTGAAGATGAAATCCAGGAGAGACCTTACGGAGATTTACCTCCGTAAATCTACGGAGATAGTAACTGGGTTCATGGTTCCTTAGGGGCTATGCATGAGGCTAAGCTCTGCCAAGAACTGAACCGGCGGAGAGAGGCGAGAGTAGGGGCCGTGATTAATCTTCTGAGACATACACCTGAGCTCTGGGATTACGCAGGTCTCTGCTGCTCTGAGACTCAGTGGAGCCTGGGGTGTCATTAGCTCTGGTTAGAGCGGAGTGCAGCGAGAGCGAGCTTCTCCCTGCAGGGCTCCATGCCTGATGAGAGCCCAGCATGGCACTGCGGGGGACCACAAGGCTCCCAGCCCAGCAAATCTCTCACAGGCCGCCTTTGACCTCGCCCACCCCCTTGGAGCAAAAGCCAGGATGCTGTGTTGAGAAGTGGATTTGAGAATTACAATGATAACTGAAAGGACCAACTGGGGCTGTGTGGCAAAGGATCATCCGAAAGCCCAGATACGGCCATCTTTGACTCTACCCAAACATGGCACCTTCCAGACGCTGAAAGATGGTGGAACTGGACCGTGGCAGCCGTCCACGGAGTGCTGATGACAGCTCATCCTTTTCTGCTTGATGTGATATGGGAAGGTGCTATGTTCTGTGGGTAACTGTCACACAGCCACAGAACACTAATCACACGCTGGCTTCCTGGGTAAGCCGTGGATTTGAACCGCCCTTGCCAATTTCCCACAGTCACCACCCGTCTGTAAGGGGATGGACGTTTGGGTATTGCTGTGAGGCTGAACGAGTGTCAGCAGAATTTCCAGGTCAAGACTAGGAAGAAATACCTGGCAATCTGCTTCCCCACAGTCAGCCGGGTTGTGCCAGCTCACGGCAGCTAACAACCACAATCATGTTACAAGCTGTGTCAGAAGTGAGGCTACCAGGAGCGTACACCAAAGAACTTGCCTTTGAGGATGAAAATCTAACAAAGGACAGAGACGATAGCAGCAGAGACAAGAGAGACGGGTCAGTCCACCGCTACCCTGGGCTTACTTCCAGGAAAGTCCAGGGCTGGTTAAAAAAAAAAAAGGTGACATCTCTTCTGCATGTGGCGGGCCAGAGAGCAGCAGCATGCTTCCCAAATGCCCTCCTTTCATTCTGCAGAGAGGAAGGGAGAGCGAAGCCCAGGGAGCTGGAGGCCCCGCTGTGGGACTTCAGGTGCAAGGACTCTCGAGATAACCAAGACCAACCCTCCTCCTTCCATGGCGAGTGCTGCCATCACACCATCACCCTCGCAGTCTTTTTTAAGTAAGGTGACACTCGCAAGGTGCTCGGACTGGCAGCAAGGCCACAATTCAGATGTATCATTTCTTCCATCCAGGGCCAGTGCAGTCGTGTCTCCTTGTATTGACGCAGATGATGAAGCCAAGCTGAGCTTCACCTGTGGGGGCATGTCTCTGGGGCACAGTTCCTAGCACTTGGACACCACTCAACGTCACCAGGGGAGGCTCAGATTCTCCCGAGGATCGACGTTACTTGCCTGAGGCCAGGAACAAGAAGAGAAGCTCTCCAATCACTAATACCGCCCAGATGATATTGGAGGTGGAGATGAATTTTAGTAAATAAAGTGTGCTAACGTGACGGGATGCACCTGACCACAGCCCTGGCATGTTCAGTCCCCTCATAGTCACGTGAAAGCTGGATGGCGAATTAGGAAGGCCTTAGAAGGAGCGATGCATATGAACTACCGCGGCGTTGGCAAAGAATGCCGGCAACATGGTCCAATCTGTCTTGGGAGGTGGAGCCTGAAGGCTCCTTGGAATCCAGGCTTGTCAGACACAGTCTTTGGGCATGTTCTCTGAAAAAGCACAGCATGCTTGGTAAAGTGGAGGGTCAAGGGAACAGAGGAAGGTACTTCATGAGAGCGGGGCGGAAGGAGGGGCCACAATAACGGGCACAAATGTAGGGATGATTGTGAGGATGGCAGGGGATGGCACGGTGCTTCCAGTGGACGTGGGGTCCCTGACAATCAGAGCCTACTATAAGATCCTGAACAACGGCCACAGAGCGGCCTGTTGCTGACTTCCCAACTTCGTCTTGGCCATCGGTGTTTGCAGACCAGTTGAGTGACTCAACGCACTGCCCATAGCAACCCGACGTGTAACCGCCGCCCCACCGGGGCACCTTAGTTGAGGACTAAGTGTAAGCTCTGCCCCCATTCCTGCCTTCCTGTAGACAGCCTTCTCCTTACGGAGCCGACAACTGTTTACAAGTAGCAAAACTGTGCAAAGACAACCAAAAAGCTTGGCGTACGTTACTCATCAGGGAAACAAAAACTTAAAAAGCAAGCCCAGGGTAGCAGTGGGCTGATTGGTCCCTATTGTCTCTGCTGTTGTCGTCTCTGTCCCTCGGCGGTTGTGACTCTTGTGTCATGGCAAAAATGAAAGGTGACGAGCCCAGCTTTCCATCCTGTGTGGAGCACCTGGGATTCTCATCTGCAGTGTGGGGAGCGGACGTGCGTACAACCACAGCATTTGCCAGAATCGACCCAAGTCATGTGTGCACCTACTTGAGGAGTCAGCATTCCACTTGTTGGGAAGACCTGGGAGAAATCAGTGCTCCTGACAGTTAAAAAAAAAAATGTCGAGAACGTTCACTGCAACTTTCTTCATCAAAGCCAAGAAATGAAGAGCAGCCCAAATCTACCAAGAGCAGAATGGCCAGATAAAATCAGGTAGATCCATCCAATAGAACCACATTCAAAACCAGAACAGAGCGCATTACTGCCACAGGCCACACAGGGCTGCCTGTCATCAACCAAACACTGAGACAAAGAAGCCAGATGCGAAAGCACATACCTTTGGGATTCCATGTATAAGAGTCGATCCCATACGGTTTCGTGTGCACGAGCCCATTCAAGGACAAACAAAATGAATCCATGATGTGAGCGGGCAGGATGGTAGCTATTTCTGGGTGGCAAGACTGGTGACGGCTGGGGTACTAAATGGGAAGGGACCCCTTTTAGGGAGCTATCAGATATGTTCCATAGCTTGATTTAGGCAGTGACTACACATTGTTGTTAGCTGCCATCAAATTAAAGGGCAACACATCAGCGACCTTGTGTGTACCAGAGTGAAACTTGGTCCAGTCCTGCTGCATCCTCATGATGTTGAAATCCATGGGGGTGGGGGGGAGGTTTGATTCCACGGTGGTGGCTA